GAGACGCAGCCTGGGGACGCGGCCGGGAGCGGGCAGAGCCGCCGACGGCTGGACGGGCTCGGGCGCCGAGCGGGTGGTCACTGCCGTGGGTGACTGAGCCCCCGGCAACAACCATGTGTTCCTCATCGCTCTTGTGGCACAGCCCAAATGCGGCAGCTCAGCCAACCAGGGACGGAAGCGAGGACTTCTAATTAGCACAGCGATTATGAACGCACACACGTGCACTGGTGCACGGGGGTCTCTAATGCATGCTCAGCGTGGTCTGTTACTGGGGAGAGGGGAGCCGAGCAGCGATGGGCTTAATGGATTGATCCTGAATGTTTTGCTCCAGCCAAGGAGGCCGGGATGGGAGGGAAGAGCGCGACACGTGTGATTTGGGGTGATCCTCTCTGTTTTCCACTGATGAGTTTGACAGAGTCGAGCTTTTTTACGTGACTAAACAAGTGCTAGCCTATGAATTAACCTCCTTTGGGAAGATTTTGCATAGCATTGTTCTTTTAGTCTAAAGAGCAGGGTTTTGGAATCTGAAATTGTTTGGGGAGCAGAGGAGCCAACTGTGCTTTGGAGGCATCAATTAAGTTCTATCAGCCCGCTAGGGTAAACTGTCGTCAACCCACCCCAGACACCTGAGGTTCCGCCCTCTTAAATGGAGAGGGAGCCAGAGCAGGGGTTATTCTGTTTTCTACGTTCCAGCACAAGTGGGGCGTGGGGGTGGGTTATTCAGTACTTGACCCCAGTTAACATTTTTGGAAATCAAAACCTTTACTCTCTCCACCTTTTTGACCTTCATCCTCTCACCTCCTTCATCTTCATCCTCTAGAGTCGAGAGTTTGCACAACTTGACTGTCCCTCTGTAAACTCCTCCCTTTCCCCAAGAGCCTGGATCAGTTGTGTATAGGAGATCTTAGGCAGAGGAAATAAGATCTACTTGTGCACAGGAACACCCATTTGGCTTCCTAGTGTTAAAATAAAGGCTCAGACAGGTCGGATGTGCCAGCCAGGCAGAGGAAGTCCACCTTTCCTCCCCACCTATCCCCTGCGAGTCACAGAGGCAAGGCTGAGAACAAGCCCTTGTGCTCATTGCTTCTTTTCCCCCAAGCTCTTAGCAGTGTGGACACTGATTAACGGCAGCTGGGATCTAGTTTGCCCAGCCTGTCTTTGAAACCCATCAATGAGTTCCTTCTCGAGGAATGCTCCCCACTAACTGCAGAGGAGGAGGCTGTGGGGGTCCTCTCCAACATGGGCATCCTGGTTCTGACTGCCTAAGTGAAGGTAAGGGACAGAGGTCTGAGGCATGGGACAGGCAGCCTTTGCACATGGCTCCCAAAGTGGGCTCTGAAACAGAAAGGTAGCTTGGATTTTAGCCTGTATGCTACTAAACTTTGGGCTTATTTCTTCACTTTATTGCTAAACACCATACTTTTGCAACTTGGATTGTGCTTTATTGGGAAATAAATTCACATGGCAAAATTTATTTCACCTGGTGCAAAAGGTCGTGTGATTGCCGCTGAGTTTTCTAGTATCTTGGTATGAAATCTAAGTTAAAACTTAAACTTGCAGGTATGGTGAAATGTCGGGTCTCATATTAATCCTAAGTATGTTATGCATAATTTTAGAACTTTGCTTCAAGACCCCAAGCCTGCACTACAGACCTTTGGAGCCTTTGGAAGGCCGAAGTTACCTTAGTTGAAACCAAATAATGAGGCACTAACAATTTGTTTGCAGAGGGAGTTTGTTAAAACTGCAGTTGATGTTAAGGCTATTTTAGCATGTTTGTGCTTTTGACATGTAGGCACAAACAGGATCCCACTGTTCCTTTTCATTTCTCCTGAGCAACTATCAAGGTTTTCCACTCAGTGTTTCCAGACTAGAGAGAATTGAGTGAAGGTAGAAAATCTCTCTTGTCAAAATGAGTAAGATGCTTGTGTAATTTTTCTGTCCTAAATATTTTCAGGGTCAATTCAATTGAGCTTTTGCTAATATACTCTCCCCTTACATGTGATTATATGTATGTATATAAATTTATTTTTCAACAGACAGAACTGTTATCTGTCAACAGACAGAACTCTGCTAGCTCTGAACTACTTTAGAGTTCAGTAAAACAGAAATCTTTGTATTACAAACAGCACAAAAACACCCAAAATCTTCTCATGAATTAAGGTTTACCTAATCAACTTAGATGAAATTTTGATGTAAGTCCTTAAATATTCTAATTGATTAGTGACTTTCAGATGGTTTTCTATTCAAGTTATGTTTCAAGTTAACCTAGAAGGGGTCCAAAAACCTAAAGCTATGCTAAACTGTTTGTAAGAGTAGTTTAGTAGAGTTAAAAAAACTTGAAAAAAAATCTTTAATGCCACGAAAATATAAGAAATCAATTCCCACTCAGTCTTAATTTTTGGGGTCAGGATTTGAGAAGGAATTATTATTGCAGGTATATCATTATTGTGGTATAAGACAGTCATTGTGGGGTTCCAGGATTAGAAAGAGAGTCTTGGAAGAGAATTACCATGACCTGAGACTGGGCACCAGGAGGGCTGAGGAGGATACTGGTAATGACTCTGTGGCTCCATAGCCTTGATACTTTGGGCAAAATATCATAGGCCTCCAGTCCCTCATTAATAACCAGGAATTTGACTAGGTAAATCCTCTAAGGTCCATTTGAGTTTAAATATTTTGTTACGTAATTAGAAAAACTAGTAATGAGTGTTATTTTGCCTTTATGCTTGGTGATTTTTTATTTGTAGACAAGTTGCTCCCCTTAGCCAGAAGTCGAGGTCCATTTACAAGATCTAGAACTACCTTTATGATTAAATTTGAACTTTTATTTTCTGCTTAGACCCTTAGGTTAAGATTTTGCATGCATGATATTGGTTGAGAATTTGTAGCTTTATAGAGATATTATTGGTTTGCTGAAAAGAACTCAGAATAGTGAAAGAGCCATCTAAGCCATCCTTGGTTGGTAATTCTTTGAGTCTAGCTTGAAAGATGGTATTTTCTCCTTCCAGGTTTTGTAAGGGTGTTTGACTTGGGTTTTTTGTTTGTTTGTTTGTTTTTTAATTTTAAGAAATAGTGTTATTGGCCTATAAAACTTTGTTTCTTCATTGTTTCACACCCATAACACACAAAATTGACAAGATAGAGGTGAGGTCAATGCTGCAGATGACAATAAAGGTGGCCTTTAGGGAAGAGACCCTTGATGGGTCTCTGCCAATGGTGGATTCATTAGCACTTTTTGTTTAACTGGCCACAGTTAAGGAGTCTGTGGGGGGGGGCGGGGCAGGAGTGGTGAGTTGGGGGTGGTGTACTGTCACCCTCTGACATTTATTTTGGGAGGTACTATTAGCATTCCTTTATCTTAATAGCTTATTGAGTCTTTAACTGATATCAAAAATGAAGTATAATTTGTGACCAAAATTTGTTTTTAAAAACATATGTAAGCTACTCATTTTAGAGCTCAACATTTTATTCATCTTGAGGTCTTCATCCCTCTCAATATGAAGAAAACTTTAGATTTTCTGTTATTTACGGTTTTATTTCATCAATACTTTTTTTCATTTCTCCCCCTTATCCTTTGTCTTTTCTTAGTGATTTAGGGTTCTACAAAATCTTCCTATTTTTTTACGGAATTCTTTTTCCTCTTAAAATAAGTCAGTGGAAGTTTTAGTTTGGCACATTTCCTATGGTGATCATTTAGACTCAGCTAGTGTTTATTGAATATAAAATATATGCCAAACACTGGCACAAACAGTTAATCTTCACAATTGTATTTGAGGTGTTGGCCTCCGTTGTCCATACTGGAGAACTCAGGTACAAGAGAAAAAGTCACATAACCAGAATGGAAGGGCTACTAACTGGCTAGGGAGTGGAGCCAGCATTCGACTCCAGAACTTCTGATTCCAATTCTAATATTCTATCCATTCATCAGCTGCCTTAGTGGAATCTCACAGCAGACAGTAGTGATATAATGTTTATCATTTTATTCTTATTTTTCTTTCCTTCCAATTTCTTTCTTTTTTTTTTTTTTTTTGTGAGGAAGATCAGCCCTGAGCTAACATCCGTGATAATCCTCCTTTTTTTGTTGAGGAAGACCGGCTCTGAGCTAACATCTATTGCCAATCCTCCTCCTTTTTTTTTTTTTCCCCCAAAGCCCCAGTAGATAGTTGTATGTCATAGTTGCACATCCTTCTAGTTGCTGTATGTGGGACGCGGCCTCAGCATGGCCGGAGAGACGATGCGTCGGTGCGTGCCTGGGATCCGAACCCAGGCCGCCAGTAGCAGAGCGCGAGCACTTAACTGCTAAGCCACCGGCCGGCCCCCAATTTATTTTCTATGCAATATTGCAATACATTTTTTATAACATGTCAGCAAAGTCTAGAGTTAGACCGGAAACCATCTTGGTCATAATCAAAGCACACCTCTAGGTGGCATAAATGAATGCTTTTTCTTCAGAGTCATAACTATGATGTCTTCAACTGGGATTCTGGAGCAACAGACTAAACAGAGTCTTTAAACATGTGATATTTTACTTATGGAGTCATTAATTTTTTCTTCCTCCTCTGGGCTAGTTCAAGTCTCATCATGTTCGTAATGGTTATTCCAGAATCACTTCTACTATGGAAAGAAAGAAAAAAAAAAAAAACACACACATTCTTTAAAGAATTCTGTATTGTTTCTGCATGTTTTTCCCTTTAAGTTTTATTTTTCTGAATTCCAAATCCTGAGAGTTGAGTGATCCATTTTTAGATAGACCCATAAAGCTTAGAGGAGCCATAGTTGAGAGGGGTCATAGAAGCATGAGTCCTTTCCAAAATGATCGGCTTTGCTTAATACTCACCAGAGTTACTTATCAAGCTTTTTAAACATTTAGATTATATGAATTTTAATAGTAACATCTTTCAGTGTTTAGATAAATTATACAAAAAAAGTTTTCTTTCTCTCAATGTTAACTTTTTTCTTCAAGTCTAGTGGATCATTAATCGTTTCGTTTCCCATCTTTAAAAGCTACCCCTTGGCATGTCTTGTGGTTTTTGAAAACTTTTGAATGAATTCAAAAGATCAGAAGTGATCTTTTTGTTATAGTTTGTTCTTTGTGTTCTAATTCAGCTCATCCAGATTGATTAAACATTTGTTGAAAATTATAAAAAGGTTGCAATCCTGTAGTGATCTTTTTATCTGGGAAATATAAATTTATTTGACCTTTGTTGACCCCAATTTAATCATTTCAGTTGAAAACTACTTCACCATGGGATAATTCTTCCACACTCCGAATTTTCATCCTGCGAGCTAGGTGCATTTCCATGTTTCCTGTTCATGTCTCTGCCATGTCTAAATCCAAGACCTCCACGTAGTGACTTTCAGCTAAACCATAGGGTCATGCTAAGTTTGATGGTGATTTAAAATATGAAAAAATGATCAGAAGAATTTGGATTGAAATCCTAATTTTTTTCACAAGGGACTTAAAGAGAGGAGTCCCTGTCTATGACAGTGACTTTAGGTCTATATATTTGGCATATGCTTAATTAACTTCTCTTGAATGCTAATTACCCACTAAACTTTCTTTCTCCCACTTTTGCCTACTGGGAAAATACACCTCTATTTTTTTTTTTTCCCTTTGTATAATTTTGATTATCTACAAAGGAGCATAACAAAAATTGCTTAATTAGTCTTATTACGTTTTCTTAATGATCATCTGTAAATATTAGAAGATAGTTTGAATTACATTTCTGGCAAAATATAGGACAGACTACATGAGAAATAAATGTGCCACTGTCAGGGAAAATAAAAACTCACTGTTTAGAAGTATTGAGGGGAAGGATTGTGTCCCTCTGGCTCATTGAAACTGTTACATGCCATTGGGCTTACTGTAAACTATCCCTTGATGAATTCTTTGCTGGACAATGAGCTTAAGAATCTGAGGTGTCTTCTTGCTTTTACAGAGCAAAATAGGACTCTGATGCTTAAATGGAAGTTGCAGAGCACATAATACGATCTAGGTAAAGTTACAGAACCACCACATCTCACTTTCAGGAAAGTAGTGGGAGAGGCTGTGTCTTGAGAAGAAAGGCATTTTAGAGGTAACCCTTTTAAGATTTCAATTAGTTATTTAAATGTATGAATCATGTGCTTAAATGTGTTATTACTTGAATGTTTGTTTCTGAGGCTAGCTAGTCTATAGGAATCCTAACCAGCTAGGGGGAGATGTTCTGTTTTCCTGGGACTGGAAATTTTTAAAAGAACTGGGACAAAACTGGTTTAGGTTTCTGGGATTTATTTACAGAGTTTGGAGAAATAGGACTTTCTATGAATAATGTCGTGATTAATTGCTACAGAATAGACAACTGTGATGTTCTGGTTCCTATAATGATCATTTAGTAACATCTGACAAAGTATATTAAAAATATTTCACATTTGTGCTGGTTAACTTTAGATAATTAGATATATAGAGATTTATTAAAAATGTCTTCAAAGAGAATTTATGGTAATTTTCTTGGAAAAAATTACTCTAAAGCATAATTGCTTTGGAAATGAAATTCTCTGTGCTTCTAAATTATCTATTTATAATACTTTCTGAGTGTTTACTCATGCTGCCAGCAGTCTTTCCTAATACTACAGCAAAATGTTTGGGAGACGGTCACATTCTGCATTTTTCTGAACACCAAGGTCTTATATTTTTTCAAAGGCCATCTTTAAAACACAAAAATTAACCTATGCTAAGAGCATTAGAGTTTGAGATTAACTAGAAAGAAATGCTATGTAAAGTTTCAAAGAATAAAACCAACAAGAGCGTATACAACTTATATTGGTAAATTTAAAATACCACAAATATTGAAATATAGCTAAAAACCTTATTATATCATATAAACTTTACTATTTGTCAGTTGCAAATGTTTTTATTATCATTTTAATTCAGTCATAACTCATTTGGTTATTTCATATGCACTATTTGTATACAGAAAGGAGTCCTACACATTGTTAAACTTAGGAGTTTGTAACTTTAGCTGCTTTAGTATTACTTCTGTAGTCTTAGGTCCTATAAATAATGCACACAGAAGTGCTCCATTCAAGGCCAGGGATATAATCAAACATCTTTTCTACAACCCACATAGGGGATTGTGCTATTCATAAAGTGATCGGGTTAATGAAATCATTTCTTATTTTGTAGATGTAAGATATTTAATTACTCTGAAGATGATTGCAAACAAAACCTAGTCTGTAAAACATAAAGTGGGAGGATAAAAATTAAGACAAAAGAAAAACCTGTGGCAGTATTTATTAGAATTATGGGGTAATTCTTGGGTTATAATATGGGTTCTTGATGAATCTATTTTGTAAATTGTGTCATTCTGGAAAGAGTAATGATCTTAGAGTATGGAAACCCCAGTTCAAGCCTGACTCTGCCATGACCTACCTGTCAGATCTTGGTGAAGTCACTTATCCTCTCTGTTTGTGTTTTCATTTACTGTAAAATGAGAAAAATGTAGAGGGGACTCTTTGAGAGCACCTCCTACCCTGTTTCCCACCCAGTTCTCTAAATTATCAGTCTATGATTGCTTAGCCATCTGCCAAGAACCGAGTGCTGTGCTGTTTAATCTTAGAGATAATAATTTTAAGAGTAGTGACTGTATGTTTACAACAAGTTGTGCAAATGCTGTCTTTGATAGCACTCAGTCCTAAAATTCTGTGTAAATCTTTGGTTTCAAAATTAACCTAAACAATGGAAGTTTACAGTTTGGGTACTAAAATTTTAATCAATCACTTTCTATTGCTTTTAGATAAGTGGTATTTTTACCTTAGAGGCTGACTTTTTCCAAATAGGAAGCTGACTTTTTCCGAGTAAGCATAGAGCTTACTGTTTGTTTTCTGTTTGACCTTTGATTGCTGCTGTTTCCTACCTAGTGGTTGGTCAAAGTGGTAGGACCAATACAGACAAAGCAAACAGTGTTTCAAGGGGTTTAATAATTAATAACCTGACCTGTCATCAAAGTGTCCATGGATCCGGTTCCTTACTACATCATTGGCAGAAAGATTTTAACAAGAGAAGTCTGTATATAAAAAGCAATTGTTCTTTTGTTTCCAAAACAGGTATTACAAGTGGATAAATAATGTGCACTGCTCTGAGCCCAAAGGTACGCAGTGGACCTGGCCTCTCTGATATGCATCAGTATAGCCAATGGCTGGCCAGCAGACATGAAGCTAATTTGCTACCTATGAAAGAAGATCTGGCCTTGTGGTTAACCAACCTATTAGGTAAGGTTATAAGATCTCATTTCGTGAGCAAAGATAACAGGTTTGTTTTTTTTCCCCTCATGTAGTGTCCTTCACCTAAGCATGTGACAGCCCTTGGAAAAAGACTTCATTATTTGGATTTTGCATCTAGGAAACTTGAAGCATGTGGAAACTTTAAATGAATTTCCCAGTGTCTCTCACATTAACTGTGCTTAGCAATTCCAATATCATGCATCGAAATGTGGAAATATGTGGTCCGATTGCTTATTTCATCTATATGCTGATCTGATTCATTTTTCACCGTTCTTTCATGCGACTGACCAATTTAGCCTATCCTTTGACATGGTACCCGGGCCGCAGTCTGTGACATCTGACTTTTAAAACTAAGTTTCCCTGCTCCGCTTTCATAGCGCGTCTTCTAAAACTGCCGAATACCCAGCTGCAGAACAAAAGCATCTATCCTTTGTCCAAATAAGCCAACTACAGTCACTCGACCTTGAACTGAAATTTTGCTTTTCATTTCATTTTTGTTTTTAAGTACTCTTCTAAAAGTACTGTCTTCGAGAAAAATGCTTTCTCCTGCTAAGGCTGTCTTTTGTTTTGTTTCTATTGTGCTGGCATAGTCATAGGCTAAAATTCCAACCATGTGCAGAATGGAATCACACATTTAAAGGATCATCACATAGAGCAGCACTATTTCCAGCAATAGTTTTCAGAGAATAAAATTTATTTAAGACCCAAGGCAAGGACCCTTAGAGAGTTTATAAGATATAAGTCTTGAATGTTGAGTAAACATCAAATTTGTCTGGTACTTTATCATTTGCAGAAGGCATTTCACCAACATTACTTTATTATTTATTTTATTTTATTATTTTATTATTTAAAGCATTCTTTAATAATTATTTTGTTATTTAAAGCCTTCTTCAAGGTGAGTGTTGTTATTCTCACTTTCTAGCTGATGAAACTAGAGAGCTTAGTGAGAAGCGCACTGTCCATCTGAAATTTTAGCGAGGTTTTAGCAAGATTTGGCAGGGTTTTATCACATTTTAGCAAGATTTTCCTTTTGCTCACTATGGCTCTGGAGTTTTGCATTGCTTTTGTATTTTTTCAGCTTTTGTTATTCCTTTTTCCTCACTTGTGTGCACGCTATTTTGACAACCCTGTGTAGTCTAACCAGGGCTACCACCTACGGGTACGCACGTTGTACCCTTCACAAGGGCGCCCAGCTGAAGGGCAAGGGCAGAAATGCAGGAGGCGTGCCCCAGAAGACCCTTCACCACACCAGGGACCTGTGACCACCAGAAGGAAGGGGCTACCCCCTTTTAGTAATTCATCCATGCAAAAGAGCAGCTTTTATCTACTTCACATAGAGGGAGTCAATTTAGCCTAATCGGATGAATTTCCTCATTTTTTTTGTCCTTCTGGGGTTTGCTAATGATTGGTACATTAGTAACTTATTATTAACTTTGAGTTATCTTCAGATATGGGTTCTCGCAAGTATGGCAGCATAGAAGTTAAGAATGCAGACTTGAAACAGACTGCCTGTGTTTGAACCCCAGATCCGCCACTTAACAGCAATATGACCTTGAGCAAGTCATTTAACCTCTCTGTGCCTCAGTTTCCTCATCTGTAAAGTGGTAATAATAGTAGTGTCTACTTTGTAAGGTTGCTATGGGATCAAATGATTAAAATATATGTACTACTTAGAACAGTGCCTGGCATATTGCAAACACTATATGTGTTGTTGTTATTCCATTTATATAGTTCAATGATACTGTTAATTTGATTTTATGGATCAGTTCATTCATTTCTTCAACAAATATTTGAGTGTGCAGCAGCATAATGTATTAGTTTAAAAAATGGACTCTGGAATCAGAACGCTTGAATTCAAATCTCGGTTCTATCACTAGCTCTGCGATACTGGGCAAGTGTCTTAATGCACCTTGCCTCAGTTTCATCATCTGTAAAATAAGTATGATACTAGTACCAATCTCATAGGATTTTTGGAGATTTTGAGTGAGATGATCACCTTTAGAACGAGGTCTGGCACATAGCTATCAACTAGCTATGGTAAATATGAGTTATTGTGATGATCGTGTTCCAGACACAGCCTGCTAGGTCCTGGAGGGTAGAGTGGTGATTAAGAACTGACAGAGTGGCTGTTCTTATAGAGCTTGGAGCAGAGTGAAAAAGAAACATTAAGTAATTGAATAAATAATTCATTAATTACACTTGTTATAAATACTAAAAGATATAGGTTGCAATAAGAATGTAAAAATGAGGAGATGAGAGTGGGGCAAAAGATTAGAGGGCGTGAGGAAATCCTCTTTAAAGAGTCCTATATTTAAACTGAGAACCGAAGAATAATTAATAGCAGGCCAGACAAAGCGTGGGAGAAGATGCTAGGCGGAGAGAATGGCTTGTGCTAAGATAGGAAGGAGTTTGGTACATTGGAAGAACTGAACGAAGGCTGGTGTCGACAGCACATCAAGAGGGGGAGAGTTTCATGAGATTTCTTGTGCTAGATCACATACTGCTTTGAGGATCATGTAAAGGAGCTTAGGATTTATTGTATGATCAATGAGGAGCCATTGAGATATTCTAAGCAGGGAAGATTGTGATTAATTAGAGTATAGCTGGATTATACAGGCATGTTCCAAGGTCCCATGATTTGTCATCAAAGGCATTTTATTTGGTGAATGTGATCATTTACGAAGCAGCTTGATCAGTGTGAGCAGCCCAAGACAGCCTCAAAGAATAGAGAGTCAGTGTGTGTGTAATGGAAAGATCCTTGGACTAAAAGTCAGGATACCTGGCTCCTAACTGGGCGTCAGGAGACCTGGCTTTGAGTTCTGGCTCTGCCACTTGGTAGGAAACTTGCCCGAAGTAACTCAGCTATCTTTTCTGGGCTCAGTGTCCTCAGCCATAAAATGAAGGGGTTGGAGTAAATAATCTCTAATGTCCTTTCCAGTTCCAAAAGTCTAAGTTTCCAAGAAATCCATCTCTTGAGACCCAGTTTGAGATCATCAATATGTATAAACAAGGAGAAGACAATTTACATAAATGAATAATCTTTCTTTTAAAGAATAAGAAGACTAATTTCTTTTAATGTTAGGAGTTAGTAACACAAATGCAACTGATATCTTCTGAAATTTTCTCAGAAAAGGAATCGTAAAAGAATCTTAAGATATAGTAAGGTGCTACCTTGCATTGACTTGAATTCGTATGTGGATAGATAATAGACTTCAAGTGAATATCCTCACAGTAACTTGGAAAGTAGACCAAAAGCTTGAGATTGTTTAAGGTGGTAAAACATTTGAAGGTAAGAAAATGCAATATGTACTAGAATGGTGATAATAAGAAGAGAAGGAAAAAAGTATTGCTATGATAGAAGATATTTTTATTACACATAATAGATACAATTAGTATTCACATATTTTGAAATGGAGTCATTAAATTTTAAAATTATTTATTGCTGGCTATTTTGTTACCTCAGAAGTATTTGCAAATTTGTATTGTGCACCTCTCTTTCAATTCTTGCTTTTTATCTACTTGAAAGTTAGAGCTATCTTGAAAGTAGTTTCAAAGTTGATCCTGTCTCCTTTTAAGGATCTGAATTTTTTGGTGAGGTCGAAATTTACTACTAAGTTAAAGCTTTTAATTAGATTTCACCATTGTGATGTGGACCTTAGTTGTGGAAAGATTTTTTGCTTCTCTCTAGTAATACATGACGGAAATGTGACTTTTTTCCTTTCATGTCTTTCAAAAGGAGTATTAATGATATTCTAAATTATGATATTTCTGGTCCTACATATAAAATGTCAATTGAAAGATGTAGTTCTTAAAGAAGACTCAATTCATATTCAGATTTTTTTGGTGCATAAAAGTTATTTGACAGAGAAGAAAATTATTTCATTGGTTTGTAGACCAATATTCACATTCACATATGTAGGTATAATACAGTAATTTTCAATTACTGTGTACTTACTTATTCAGTAACAATAATAAATACCATGTTAGATTTCTAGACATAGAATTAAAGCAGCAATAGCAAATTTTTAGACTAACTAAAATTTATATATTAGAATATAAAATGTCAGCTATCTTGTGATAAGTTAATTAGTTAAGATGAATAAATAGTATAGAAGTCGGGATTTGTTTATGGGGTAGCATTCCAGTTGAATTCATGAGAAGATCATGATGTGATATTTATCTACTGCTCACATATCGTTGCAAATGTCGACTGATCTTCTTGAAAATAGTCTTTATAGTCCAAGTATGTTTCTAATAGCTGGCAACCATGGTGCAGTTTTGTGACTAACATTCGGAAAAGATAGCAAAGGAATCCTGAAGATCCCTTCATTCTTCCATGTAAAACATTTCTTTGGCCATTGTCTCCTGTTATGCATTAAATACAAGTTTCATCTTTATTTTAGACCTTCTGTCTTGTTATTTTTGTTCGTGAACTAGCTATTGCCCATTTGTTATTTAACTGTGTCCTTGGGACATATTTGAACATCAAGTGATTATACAAATAAATCTTGGGGAAAAAGATTGTCTTAATTGTCACAGGAAAACAGCATGTTGTTAAATTAACAGTCCTAGATTATAGCAACTACCCATCATTCAAATAGATGGGGCACATTCTACGAATTTCATGATTGTTGATGGACTATTGAAGATTGTTGTTGGCTTAGCTTTGAAACGAATATACTGACATAAATGTTTTCAAATTGTTTATTTCACTTGTGTTTCTTTAATCATTTGAAAATGATGGTCTACCTGTATCTTCAATTAGCATTTGTTTAATAACACTATATGAATCATATGGGAGTATATTTTTGAGAAAATATTGTAGTTGTTAAGCATTAAAGACATTAACATTGTTCTTAAAGATTGTAGATCTTTAGGATGTAGGCATATATGTTTGAATATATGCAGAGACTTTGAGTAAATCATAAGATGTTACAAATCAAGTTATGCTGAATTGATTTTCCTTATATTTAGAAATGCATTTTGAC